TTTTTTTTTTTTTTTTTTACCCCAGTGTGCCCCTTGTCTGGGCTTGATGACAAAGAGAAAGAAAGGGAAGGCATTGGGCACACCGTGCTTGTTTTCTCCCCTGTCCCCAGGCCTCTGTCTCTTGCTGCAAGCAAAGAAACAACGTCTGTGCCCGAGCCGGGTTTATGTCCAAAACCCAGAGAGGATTTTTCACTATCACTGACACAGGACCTGCCCCAGGTAAGCAGCCACCTTGCACTGGCCTTGACCTAAGGGTTGATGGACCAGATCTGCTCCGCAGGGCACCACTGCTCCGGAGGGAGTCTCTTCGGAAGGAGTTAGGCTTTGGGGTAAAGGGGATGTTGAGCAGGTGTTGAACAAAAAGGAGAAGGCTGGGGAGAAGGCGCTGCTCTGGAAATGGCCCCCAGAGGAGCTTCGCTGGCCTCCCCTTTCAGGACCGGGCGCAGCTTCCCTGGGCAGCCAGCTGGGGAAGCGGCTTCTCGCCTCAGAAGTGTGCACGCTCACACGCCCCAGGTGCCATCCCGGGCCAACGGGGCCCTCAATACGCTGAGTGTCCAGATCCTTCCTTTCCTCCTGAGCCCAGAGCTGACTTCATCAACTAGTCACTGACCGATGGACAGTAGCTCCGTTTACTGAGCACCTACTCGGTGCTAAGTATTTTCTGTGCAGCCCTCACACACCTGTCTTCCTTGTGGGCCCGCATTTCAGGTGAGGAGAGGGGGCTCCGAGAGTGGAAGTGACCTGCTTGGTGTCACACAGCTAACACATGGCAGGCCTAAGTCCAGAGGTGTCTGACTGAGGAGGCTGCTGCCCCTGTGAGCCCCTCGTGACTTCTGGAACTGCCCCAAGAGGGGGCCTGCAGGCGTCTTCCTCCCTGGGCTGGGAGAGGTCTGTTCGCTCAGACCCGCTCCCCGCTTCCAGCCTCAGCCAGAGGTTTCCAGAGAGAGGTCTGGTGATGCTGCCACTGGTATTCCGGGAGCCCTTGTCACCTGCCCGCTGGGTCCTGAAGACGGCTCC